TTCGGTGCATGTGTGTTTTATTACTTTGCATAATTCAAAGTAAAGACGTGGTATTTTATTATTAATAATATTTGTTTATTATCTGTGTGTAGGAATAATACTAAAAAAAAAAATTTACCGTCTGTGTGTCATAAGACAGTTTTCGAAATTTTCACAAAGTGTTTCTGCTGCTACTATAACAACATATACCACTAAAAACTGGTTTTATTTTCTCGGTATTAACAACAACAGCTAGACTCATATATAATATTTAGATGTTTGAGGGTTGTGATTTTAAAACATTCGTAGTCAGCTGTTCAGCTTTTTAATAATTAATTAATAGGTGACCAAAGAATTTTTGATTTGAGTTGTTGCGAGTTGTAGGTAGGTACCTAATTTATAGAGACGTTAATAAGCTGAGATAAAAAGTTACTTACTCGTCATCTGTTTCTTGCATTCTAGTTGAGTAGGTAGGTGTTGGAGTTTCTAAGGATTGGAGTTTTGTAACGCGTAAGGAGAAAGCACATTTATTTTATTTTATAGAAGGATTTTTTTCGGTCGCAAATTTATAAGCCCGATTTGTTTATCAAACAAAAACATGTTTTTTTTAATTAAATCTACCAATCAAAAAACAACACGCATTTTTATTGAACACTTCCTATTCAATATACAAAGTATTTCATTTATTTATATAAAAAGGATATTTACAATCACAAATCTAAATAGAAACAGAAAGTAGGCAAATATAATTAAAATGCTGGAGACGGGCAGCCCTAACGCATGTTTACGTACCGCGCGGCTGTAGGCATTTATTTCTATCATGCGGCCGAGTTACACTACTGTATTATAATTGTACCGTGTCATAGGCGAGTGCGGTGTTAGTTGGAGTGTTGGGATTTATGGGTAATTTTTTTTTATGAAAATACCCTCGAGACATAAATTTATTGTATCTGCACTAAGTATTTTGTCAGAGGCTAATAGATGTCGTCACAAACGAGATTACTATGACATTTAAAAAAATTGAATTACATTTTGTGTGTAAAGATTACTGAAAGATTATTAATTACTAAAGATAAAGGTAAAGATTACTAAAGATTATCTGAGAAGTAAGATGAAATATGGATGAAATTTAATAAAACGTCAATGTTATGCGCGTTTTATTTATTTGTAAACCATGCACAAGTAAAATGTATTGATGATTTATCAATATACTTTTGCCCTCTAAACCCCGCGGCGGCCTAATTCGAAGTCGGGAGGAGCTCCAGGAATGCAGTCGTTTGTAGCGGCCACATTGCCCCAAGATATGGATTGGGGAGCTAGCGATCTCTGCCGCGTCCCCTTCGCCGCCTCTTTCGAGCGGGATCGGCCCTCCCTCGATCCCGCTCTGCGGCCTCCTGGAGCATATTTTTATATATTTAAGGCAGTCTTCGAGCGTATGCTGGGCGGAGTCCCGGTCGGACCCACAGAGGTGGCATACTTACATTAGTTCGCTTGACTCTCATTTGAAAGTGTCTTGCATTATCCATGTGTGTATTGCAACACGAACCATAGTCCAATGACTTAGTTTTACTATTCATCTCTTACCTTGATTTAGTCTGAAGTATACTGCGAGGTCTGGATTACATCTCGTGTTATGTTTCTTACTCGCTCACAAACTAAACGCTGAACTATATTTTCCTTTAGACACAAGCATATAGGCATCAATATCAAATCTCAGGCATGTTCAGGCAGGCAGACTGTACCTTGGATTAGACACATAGGAAAAATAACTGTGTTAAAATCATAATCCTCTTAAATTAACATCTTTATTTTTTTTAAATATTTAATATATTTGATACTATATAAGTGTATATACATATATTGCGATATAACCACATCCCTTGGATCTCGTGATTAATAGTTTATTACATGATACAATATTCATAAGATGCGAGATTGCAGATACATTAAAGACAGTTATAATTGCTTTGAACATCACTGATAATAATTTATTTATATGTAATAATAACACATAAAACAAAGATTGCATCACATCGTTTTGTGCGGTTTAAAAAATATAATTCTAGGAACGATTCATATCACTATTTCCTACTATAAATTTCTATTATAACTAAGTATTAGTTAACATTAAAATGCTGAGCCTACTTAAGCTTAAGTAAGATGGAAAGGATTCATACACATCATTCAGTTTCTATTTGTATTCTGTTTATCTTACAAACCGAATGATGATCGCAAATTTTAAGGGTCTTTATTTCAAATTCTTTCGATTTGGTTTTTGTCTGTTTGTATTTCTGTATGTTTCAGATAGCATTATTGAACATTTTTTCGTTTAGCTCAATTCAATTTAGCTAATTTTTACTCTGGTGATTAAAATATGTGTTTTGACATGCATTTGATTTCGAAGTAGTGAAAAATAGAAATAAAGAGGTATTCCTCTTCGTAACTTTTAGCGCCTTTTTAGCTTTTTTGGGGTGGCAACAAGCTTGAACCCATTCTCCTAGGGAAAAGTGTACTCCGGTGTTATACCGACAGACGTTGATCATAGTTGGTACAAGAATAAGTAGGTACTAAAATCTAAAGCTTTTCTGAAGTCGAAGTCAAAGTCTTGCGAAAAAATATAAAGAAGCCAATCCGGATTTGTTTTTACTTGTGCGACATTTTTAATTCGATAAGAATTCTGTCGTACAGTTATCTGCAAACTGAATAATGATTTATTTTGCCCTTCATAATTATGATATATCCTCCTCTTTTGATACGAGTAGTTAAGTCAAAAGCCATTCATATTCGGGGATAGTAATTTACATGACAAATGTTTAGGTTGTTTTATTATTGGTAGGCAATATATAATACTTATGCTAAAACAGATTGTGTTTCTCTTTGGTCAATAAACACACTTTGTAGAGCCTGACCATAAATAGTACGAGAGAACTGTTTAATTATAATAATGTAAAATTTAAAACATCGTATGTATTAATCCTATTTCAAAGTTGGTTTTAAGGATAGTTTTTAATAAACAACTGTTTCCTGTTTATTTGATAGATCTATCTAGCTTTGACAGTTTACCGTTTTTAGCCAGCCATATTTGAAACTATCCACAAACCACACAGAATTGGATAGAAAAAGAGTTTTACACTATATTTTTGCACTGTAAAAAAATTAAATTGTTTATTTTTTTAAATAAAATTTAAATTCTGACTCAAGTACATGTTTATTTTACAACAACATACTGCCACTGATTTTTCCCTTTTTAATTTAATTTTGTATTTTTCAATATAAAATCTTTTGGTCAGACTATACAAGCAAGTATACTGAATAAATTTTAAAAATAATTTTATTGAACAATTTGTTTGTAAATACATAAATATCACATTTTGAGTATGACTAAATATTATAAAAACGCACACGATGTTTAACTAGCTGACAGAGCAGCAACAGTGGATATGCCTAGGATAGGCACTTCGTCCTAAATTTTCTAGTACCATTTCATTATTGATGTGATTACATTTAAAAGGACTTTAAAATTTGATTTCATCATTAAGTCTTCAGGTAATTAGTCTTTTTAACATTATTTTAAGAAAGTTTCTTAAGTTTTAGTGATTTCGGTGTTATGATTTTCGATTTTCAGTAGGATTTCTTTGAAGCAGTGACACAAGTTCTTTTTAATTATATTACGTGTTGAATATACACGAGTTAAACCTCACGTTACTCCCAGAAAATAATTTGTGTAGTAGAAAAATATAATATTAAGAATTAATTAAGATTACAAATTTTATTTTTCAATGTTTTTTGTAATGTTCAGTTAAGTAAAACTTGAAGAAGTAAAGATGTAGTATCAATGTGAATGCTGTTGGTAAAGTCTTTGTCGGCACTCAACGTAGTATGTATGCTCTTTTTTATGTTTTCTTAACTTCTTTACTTTGGCTCAATAAAAGTAATTAAAATCTTAAATACGTCTGTATTAATAAATGCGACAGCAAATATTGCTACTATTTTAACATCAACATTCATTTTTCATGTTACTGTGGTTTTTATTGCTCATTAAACCTGCAGTTTAGTTCAACACAACCATCTAATTTGAAGTTAATATCTGCAAGACAACGATGATATATTCATAAATACTATATATGATAGTTACATGTGCATATTATAAATTGCATTTCAGGCACTAAAACAATTCAAGCGCAAAAACATTTTTACTAAGTCAAATACCAATAGGTATCCACTTAATGCTATTATTCTTTGGAAAAATAGGAATGTCGTAATGCTTATATCATAATTATGTTCATTCTAATATGTCTAAATAATCACTAATATCGAAGTACTTTAGCATCGTTTAGTTGCTGAAATTATTATATAATTTACCTATGTAGGTATAATATTCAATTTCGCAACATAAGTTTTGGTACCGTCGGTCTACTACAAAATACAGTTGTATATTGCTTCTTTACAGTCCATATGGTTACAATGATTACTACTAATTCCACAGCTCTTACAAATAAAATATAATTATGGTGACAAGTAAACACACTGTAACTGATAAAATACTATTCGCCTTCCGGTAAACCATTCAGATGAGAAATACAAATTGAGCACATTTGCACTAAAATTAGGCAGCCTGCACTATGTACATATTCATATTAGTATAAATTGGGATAAATTACTGAAATATCTTTGGATTTATTTAAAATTCTTAACTTCTAAGCTAATTTGACGAGACGAGATTAAGACGAGATAATAGAAAGATGATAGGTTTTTATACAATAGTTATCAACGCAAGTGTATAAGTTAAAATACGTGAAAATGTAGGGAAAATTTAGTTATTTAATAAAAGGTGGAAAGATTTTCAACCGTGTCAAGTTTTGTACACTTTCGTTAATGCATATTGCAATGATTTGCTATCAAGAATCGCATTCTGGGACAGCTTCTAACCAAATTTGGTTTGACCCGAATAGCCTTCGTAGATATAGTCTAGTACCAGAAGAAGAAACACATATGAGAGTTCTGCGCTGAAAAAAGTTGTTTCAGTGCGTAGGTAGTGTGAGTCGGTCTCCGGTGTGGACGTGTCCCGGACGCAAGTGACGCGCAAGGCGCATGCGTACCGTGGCGCAACAAGTTGCTAGCGCGTGCGCAAATACCAAAACCACTGCGCACATGGATACAAAGCCAAATGCAGAGCCTGTAAACAAAATAGTAAATTTATATAGATTATTATATTTATAAAATATAATCTAATTGAGATTATTTGGAGTTGCAGAGAAAAACTCGAAGAATCGATTTGGATGCAGAGGTAGGGTGGAGTTTGATTAATCAGGATCTACGAGTAGTGTTACTACTCGTATCTGGTTGCACTATTATTTTGACATTGACATTTTCGAGCTACTATCTAACCGCAGTTTAAAAAAGTCTTCAGGATTACTCTAGAACAGTACGTATACACTTTGGCGTTCAATTGTGTCCATCGTCATTAAGGGGTCGATTAATTAACAAAAAAACATACGGCGTCATACAGCGGTTTAGGAGGGGTTCATTGATATGGACACGTACAGAAGAAATTATACTTTATTTACATAAACTTACAATAAATAAAATACATACCAGGTTTATCCCAATTGAGAGCTGGATATATAGCAGGCTGGCCGATCCGGTCAGTCCCACCAACAGCCCAGTAAAACGCGCTGAACACACCATAGACCAGTCCGGCGCCAGCACTGTACAGCGCATGTGCTGCACGCACCGGATGCGCAGTGACAGCTAACTCTACGAGCATCACGAGAGAGTTGCCGCCATGGACTAGGATGTTCAGAGTATTTATTTCGTGTATTTCTGGAAAATAAATCAGGGAATATTCTAATTAGCTTAAGGACTGTGGGTGTGGTATAGGGGGTAAACAAGGAGACGGCCACTCTGAGCACCCCCAACAAATAAATTACAAGATCTAAAAATTCACTTTCAGTGAAATTGTGAAATTCACTCTCAGTGAACGAAACAAATGCTTAATACCGGTTTTATGATGACGATTGGTGTATAAAGAGACACCTGTCATGTCAGGTGTTTAGATGCGTTTCCTTTAAGGCTATATCTGAGTTTGTAAAGTCAGGAATCGGTATTTAACCTAAGTGCTGTTTTAGTACGTTAAAATTTATTTATTTATTTATTTATTTATTTATTTTCTTTAAAAACAACTATTTTTACAGGCTTAGCCCAATGCAATAGTGTTATACCATCTACTTATTTATTATAAGAAATAATTCTTAATGCTGTTATTGTGAATTCACTCAGTGAGCAATAAAAAAAATCTACTTCGTCCGCAATTATATTCAGAGTACGTAGTGCGCGCGTCAGCAAAAAAAAAAAAAAAATGACAAAACAGTAAAATCATACTAATGTGTCTTCGTGTTGCTTGCTATTCTTATTTGTGTAGGCGCATATAGTATTATCTAGGACAATAATAAACTTTGATAAATATACTAATTAATACAATATGTGTGTAAAAAAATGTTATTTAAATTAGATGAACTATTTTAGAGTTTCCTTCCTCAAAGGGCAACAATAATTTCTTTTAGGATCCCTACGTCTTCTGTAAGTTTGTCTATCTGTTCGTTAAGATTTGAGTTAAAATTAACAGTAAATACTCATAATCAAAAGATATAAACATACCATATAGACATAAGTCTCCTTTCTTGTGATATTGTGAAAAAATCAAGCTTCAGAAGGTCTCAGGAGAAGTAAATAAATTACCCAAAAGCAAAAAATTATTCTTTTATGTCACTTTTTTTTGGATAGCAAATTTACTTTTTATGGTTAGAAAACTGACTGATTTTTTAGATCAGCAACGTTAAAAAATACTCGTAAAATAAACGGGCTATATTACACAATGGCTTCCTAAGATTGGATGGGCTACCTAAATCTCTACAAGTTTGAACGAATCCCTTAGTGTTAAAATTCTGTGGAGAATATCATCCGGAATAGGCTCTGAATATTGTTAATGTTTCTCTTCATTTTATATTCTTCAAATTGACACAAGGTGACTGACTTTATGTAATACCTGCCAGTTCAACATTTAATAAGTATGTGTTCCTGTTAAAAGGCGTATTGATTTGACCTTAGGTAACATATTAATAATCTGATGATGATAATGATGAACCTAAGGATTTGATGTAAAAGATCTTATAGAGGAAAGTCTTATAGAGAGAAGTAAAAGAGAAATATTTTTCTAGACAAAAGTACTCCAAAACGAACTACGAAATTACTTACTGTGGGAAAGACTACCGAATTCACCTACTATTATTGTTGTAAACTAGTTACTTAAACCGCTTATAACTAATATAATATTACTTACTCGGATCATGTACGAGAGCCCAGTAAACGAGTGAAATTACGAAGGCAAGGTCGGTGGAGATTATATGTGCAAGCCAATAAGAGCGGCAGAGGTGTGGCGTGCGTTTCCATCGTGCCAGGGAAATTGACATTTCATCCTCTTCACAAGCTGGAACACATAAACATCACTGATTTATTTACACTTTACTGTTCTGTCAATTAAAATTTTATCGCTTAAGTTCTCTTATTATTGTGCTTAAAATTTATTTACATTAGAGATCGTTTGTCGGTAGAATTGTGGCCGTTTTAAAAGGCCTCTTTTATTTTATTGTTTAGTAAAATTTGAACTGTTATCTATACTAATATTATTAAGAGGTAAAGTTTGTGAGTTTGTATGTTCGGGGTATCTCATGTACTACTGGTTCAAATTGAAGAATTATTTTAATTTTGGATAGCCTTTTTATCAATGAAGGATAAGAGCTATATAACATCATCATCAAAACATGAAAAATGTTGCGAAAACGGGGAAAGTTCGTTCCTTTTGACAGAAGCAGACGAAGTTTTGCGGGTCAGCTAGTTGTTTATACTTTGTACCACGACAGGTCAAAATATTTACTGGACCCTTTCATCTCGCTGTTTTTACACAACTTTGCACTTCTTCTACATTAAAACGTGAAGTGTTCCGAAAATGAATTGCTTCACATTTGTTAACAAAGAAGTAGAAAGAATTTTCTTCACGTATTAATATACAAAAACTTGATAACGGCAGCATAAGATCGATCATAGAGAAAAACGTCCTGAAAATACTAAAATGTTGTATAATTTTCTAAAAACATACATTTTATAGATAATATAGAGGAACGGGTGTCATACCCCTCCAACACAAAGGGAGGATAATCCGACCAGGCGAGGTGATCATTCATGCTAATCGGCTAGAGAAGTGTTAATACCGTGTTACAGGATTAGCAGTTACTCCGTAGTTCGGTTTGTCTTCAATAGATATCGCTGTAGTAAGTTTCTTTGTTTCACTGTATGTGGAAGTCGCCACAGATAACATACACTCAGGCACATAGCAAATGATTACTGATGAAATGATGATACTCATTACACAATTATTTCACTGGGTGGAATCGAACACACTACTTCCAGCTTAGCAATTAGGAAGGTTAACCACTAGACCAAGAGGCCAATCGTTATAGTGTAAGACATTTTAATTGTATTAATCAATAACTCTATTACTGAAGAATCGGCAACAAAATGTGATTTGAAAAAGGGAAATAGAATGTAGCAATATATTTGGTTATCTAAAAGCAGGTACAGAATGCTTCCGTTGTGTAACTGATAGTAACGTATCAAATTATAGTTGTATTGTGCAGTTGTATTCATTTCACAATAACGAGTCGCTTATTGAGTGTCAGTTTAAGTGAGAAATGTCAAATGTTAACCTCTTTAAATCCTTTATGCTACCACAATTGACAGTCACTGGCCATTCAGCCAACGACATCTTCAATTTTCAACAATAGCTTTTGTACATATAATACCAGTACAGACGGGCTCAGCCCGACTTTAATAAGAAACCAATAAGGATAATTTGTAGTACAATGCACAGCAGACCAGTTCGTCCAAGAAGTTAATTGACGCGAAATTGCTGCCAATCAAGAGTACACGACCTCTTGTCGATAAAGCGTATGCCTAAAATGTCATATGAATATCGCCGTCCTATTAAATTCGCCCTTGAAATATGAACGCATGGATATTGTTTAACGATAAACGTTATGATTTATCTCTCAAATTGATAGGCAGTCTAGACATATTAATGTAAGTTTTGATGAAAGAAAAAGAAACGGAACATTTGATCAATCGATCTCAGTAGTAGTTAGGTATTTTGATGGAGACGACAACACGCGACGCAATGATTCAGATTAATTGATTCGCGTGAGCTGTTACGTTGTTCAAGGAAATTGTGTGTGTAATAAAAGTACCCACGCATAGCGCTTGACATTAGTCTCATCTGTTTTATTTGGAATGTCTTTGCTTATGTTCTAGGTTTATTTTGGTCATGAGTTTAAAACAAAACGGTCACTGCATGATCACAGTTATAGTCGTTCTATCTTAATTGAGTTACACAGGTCTATGGGTTCAAACTTTGGTATTTATACTTTTTATTTTAAGATATACTTATAACCGGTATCATGTAATCCATTTCTTTGACCACAAAGATTGTCTTTTTTAATTGTTACTGTATGTGTTCGAATCACCTAAGCTACTATCGAAGAGTGATGTTATCTATGTCTAATAATTTAAGAAAGTCGAATGGCGTTTATTAGTTCAAACGCGCAAATCTCAGTCTGAATTAAATATTTCTTATTGTATTGGATACAGTATGCATAGAGGAAGACCAGACCAGTGATTATAAACGCATGTGAAGCTGTAAATAGCTTGTGTGAAACTGTTAACTCTTCCTATTAAAAGGATTGCAAAAGCTGATAATCATTATCATCGTCAAAAGCCTTTAATAGTCCACTGTTGGACATAGGCCTCTCCTTAGAAATGAGGTTTTGGCCTACTATCTATACCACGCTGGCTTAGGTTGGTTTAGGGTTTTGCACCCTGGAAACGCTGGCGATGGTACTGTTTCCTCCTTGTCCTCTTGGAGGAGAGGATTATCGCCAGCGGCCAATATTCTAGCAGAAGAGGCAGCCGTTCATCGGCTCTCGGGCAAGGCCTGGTCCAGCAGGGTGGGCGTGTCTGCCGGTTGCCCTGCTGGCTCTTCGCTCTTCGGAGCATGGAGGAGGAAACCTCGGTAAAAAACCTGATGGCGGGGCCCTGTAGGGGCCACAGTTTCTCCGCTGATAGCGGTGGAGAAAGGAGGACGGGCTCGGCGTGTACTCACACTACCACCGAGCAGGCAGGGGGACGTAGTCTCCCTGTCAACCGTCGGCATATCGTAATCCCGAGAAGAGCGCTGTGGTTAAGTCTCGCGGCTCTGATCGGGGGCGAGGGTCTTGGCTTAACCGCCCGGACCGCGAGGAAGATAACCTCTCTAAAAAATTCCCCGAATCCCGTGTTCTGGTGCGTGGCCAGGGGATGCATGGCTGATGGGAAGTTCAGTCGCGAGCGCACTCCAAGCCGAGGTACCTGCGGACCCCTCGGTTGGGTTAAAAACTTACGCTTGCCCGGGTAATGGGGGATCTCTGCCCGGGTGGACCTTTAGTTCTCCCCCAATCGTGGGATTTATTATGGATCATAACAACAAAAATATAAAGAAACGGCAACCAATACAAACCAAACAGAAACAGGCAAGCAAAACGGACTCTGATACGAAGGAGAAGAGGAACAGTGGAGTGGATGGGTCATCCACGGAGGGGGAGATAGCGTCGGGAACGCCTATCTCGGTGGGGCTCCCAGAAGTCAGTCTGACGCTGATCTCTGGGAGCCGAAGAGCATCAGATCGGCTGCGCTCCGGATCCGCCGTTTCGTCGGATGGCGTGGAGGCCATGGAGGCGGAGCGAAGCGACAGCCGGAAACGAGGACGCTCCAGGGACGAGGAAACCGACACGTCCCAGGAGATGATGCCACCAAAGGTGGCAAGCAGCCGCCGAGGGAGGGCTCGCAAACCGGCCTCGGCCCCGGTCTCAACCCCGTCAGGCTCCGCGTTCTCCAACGCGGAGTCGTACAGGAACGTACGGGTGGACGGCGAGGCCGTAGCGGAGGAGGAGATCGCGGATCTCCTGCTCAAGGTTCGGGAGCCGGTGGGGGGAAATGCCCCCCAGGCTCCCGTGTCCGTGCAGGAGAGGGCGAAAGCGGCGGTGGCCGTCATCAACAAGGTGGCCACCAAATCCGTGAACCTTAAGGGCTCGTTTGTGAGGGCCCTTAAGGACTCCTCCTCCGCTTTGTCGGAGGTCGTGGAGGGCCTAGCGGGCGACGTCTCTCGCCTGCAGGTGGCCAACGAGAAGCTGACGGAGCGGGTGAACGAGCTGAGCGCTCAGTTCGCCCGCTTCCAGGCTAACCTCCCCGAGCGGGAAGCCCCGTCCGCGTCCCAGCCTGCCCCTACCACCAACTCAGGGGCATTTGACTCCCAACTGCGAGAAATCCTCATCGCAGTTGGGAATATGCTGGACGGACGCCTGGCTGGCCTGGAGGCGAGATTGCCTCCTGCGCCGAGTATGCGCCCCCCGCTCGCGTCGACACAGCGGCCTAAGGCCGCCGCTCCGACCGCGCTCCCCGTAGTGGGAGGCCGCGTCTCCTACGCGGCGGCGGCGTCTGCCCCGACTCCATCGGCTCCCCAAAAGCCGAGGAGGGGGGCCAAGGCACCGGCCCAGGCGCCGGCCAAGGCACCGGCTAAGGCGCCGGCCAAGGCACATCCCCAGGCGCCGGCCAAGACGGGGCCTAAAACGGCGCCGAGGAGCGGAGTGGCATTCCCTCCGCTCCCCACTCCGACACCCCTGCCGGGCCCCTCCGCACCTGCCCCCTCCAACGAGGGCTGGCAGGAGGCGAGGGGCTCCAAGAAGTCCCGAAGGCGGGCCAGAAAGGCTGCCCAAAAAGCAGCCCAAGCCCAGCCTTCGCCACCGGTGACAACGGCCTCTGCAAAGAGGCCGCGGAAGCTGCAGCCGCCCAAAACCGCGGCTGTAGTTGTGACCGTGTCCCCGGAGGCGGCTGACGGCGGGCTGTCCTATGCGGCCGTCTTCAAAAAGGCCCGGGACAGCCTCGCCAACGACTTTGGGACGGCGGGGGTGAAGATGCGCCTCGCCCAAACGGGAGCTCGAGTTCTCGAGTTCCCAGGGGCTGAAGGCGCCAAGACGGCGGACACTTTCGCTGAGAGGCTGCGGGGTCTATTCGCGACCACAGATGGTGTCAAGATCGCCAGGCCTACCAAGTGCGCGGAGCTGCGCATCTCGGGCCTGGACGACTCTGTGACGGCCGAAGATGTCCGCGCTGTAATCCGGGAGAAGACGGGGTGCAGCGCGGACAACGTCAGGGTCGGCACCATCCGCCCCGGTCCAGGAGGGCTTGGCGCCGTGTGGGTCAGCTGTCCCGTAGCGTCGGCCAAAGTATTGGCCGACGCCGGCAGGCTGCTCGTCGGTTTCGTGAGCGCCAGGATCACAGTCCTGGCGGCGAGACCGATGAGATGTTACAAATGCCTAGCATCGGGGCACACGCGCGTCAAGT